CCTCCGCCATTGCCTCGTTTGAGTTTTGGACGAAATGGATTCTGGGATATTGCATTTCGTCAGTTCGAGCTGATTGGAGACCAGAACAGCCAATCAGGTATTTTTGCATCAAAGTCTGTGATTGGCTGGTTTTGTGGCACAAATATAACCGTGTAGAAAAAGAGTTGAGCGCGCACGGGCAGAAATGTTGAGAGCGCAAGCAACACATTGCGGCTGCAATTGTGTGTGTGTGTGTATGGATAATAGCAAACACTGAAATACATTTTTTTGCACGCAGCAATTAATTTTGTTCACTCAAATTCAGCTTTTCTTCGCTCAAAATAAATTTCTCCTCAAAATGCAACACTTGCACCCGCAAACCTTTTTTTACGTGCGCTCAAATTTTTTTTACGTGCGCTCAGAATAGTGGCACAAAAATAATGTCATACTTAAGAGGTACTAGATGTTCTTATATAATAAACCAACCAAGACTTTTAGTTTTAAAGCAAAGCAGAAGTTTATCAACAATTATTTTAAAGTTTATTCTGTCATACTCTTTCATATTCTCTCTTACATGACTTTCTACAGAGAACTCTCTGCGCTGGTGTTTTGAAATGTTTGCCCTGTTAACAGACACCATGGAGTAAACTGAAGTAGCTTCTGTAATGCTACAATGAGACAAAAGTGGGCCACCCTCTTCTTCTTCTTTTTTAAAATTTGGTTTGTTTGTTTTTTACCAGTACTTAAAAAATAAAAATTTTGTATGTTTCTTAATGAGGCACTGTGCTTGATTCTCTGAATTAAATACATTCTGCTGACCAAATAACATACAACCACTGGTTATTTTTGCCATGAATATAAATTTGCACCTAATAATAATAATAATAATAATAACTTTATATAAAGCGCTTTCAAACAAAGTGCTGTACATCTATTTGAAACTAAAAAGATAAATAAATCAAATCGATACATAGCAATACAAGTAAAAAAACAATACAAGTTAAAAACAGTAAGAATTTAAAAAACTAAAAGCCATAGAATTAAAACATGTAGGATAGGGTGAACAAATGTGTCTTCAACTTAGTTTTAAAAACTAAAAAAAAAACTAAAAATTGTCATTTTTCTGGCTCTAGGAGAAGGTTCCTAGAGAAGAGTCCTGAGATCGTGGAGCACTGGATGGAACTTAAAGGTGTAAAAGGTCGCAGAGGTGCCAATCCGTTTAAAGCCTTGTAGGTGAGCAGCAGGACCTTAAAATCTGATTGAACCTGACAAAGTAGCCAATGAAGAGCTCTCAGTACAGGGGTAATGTGCTCAAATGTGAGCAGCTGCATTTTGCACCATCTGTGGACCTCTGAAACTTTTCTTTGGTAGCCCAGAAAGAAGAGCGTTAAAATAATCAATACATGAAGACACAAATGCATGGATAGGAACCCCTGCAGTGTTGCTTGACAAAACTTGTCTGATTCTGGCTATGTTCCTCAAATGATAAAAGGCGGTCTTTGTTATCTCTTTTACATGAGACTCGAAGCAGAGCACCATGTCGAACCACACGCCCAAGTTTTTTACCTTGTCCCTGCAATTTCTGACACCTGTCAACAATTTTCAAGATGAAATTTTGGGACAAGTGCTGAAATTTTTGTGGCCCAATGACCATCAACTCTGTCTTATTAGTATTTAGGAGCAAGAAATTATCAGATAATCAGCCCTTAATTGCAGATAGACACGATTCTAGTTTAGAGACTTCAGCACAATTTCAAATGGTCAAAGGAACATAAACCTGCAGGTCATCAGCGTAACAATGAAAGGTTACATTAAAAAACACAGTACAGTAAATGTACGAAGTCAGAACAGAGGACAACATTAAAATGGAAATGTAGAATAGATCAAGAATCACAGTTAAAATGTCAAAACATGTAGAAATATATGCTCTCCAAGAAACTGTACAGTGGTGTTATGGTATTTTTTTACAGATCCATTTCATAGAAGCTGTACATGAAATATCATTCCAAGTCCTCTGGTCTGCAGCTCTTATATGCACACAGTCTTCTTCACCATGCCGTGAGCCTCCATTATTGGGTTCATTTTTTGCCCAGTTCCTAAAGAACGAAGGTGTTATATAAGAACATATCAGTAAGATGAAGAAATTGAGTGTGGGGATTTAATTCCCTATAAAAAAATATGACAATGACCCCACTGTCTGGTGCAGTTGTCAACAGTGTTGCATGGATTCAAATCTACTGTGTCCTTTCTGTATGCAGTTTGCATTTTCTCTGCCACTTCATCCCACAGTCCAAAGACATGTGTGCTAGCTGAATGGTGGAGAAAATGGATGGATCGATGTATTTGTCATGAAAGGTATGAAAGGTCGTAACTGAGTTCTTCTGCCCCCCCCCCAAAAAAAAGTCAGTAGCATCCATCTTTAACCTTTTGCCCTTATTTTGGCTCAACCACCTGACATGTAAGCTTACTGATGAGATTATTTTGCATACATATATGTTCATAAAAAAACACATTGCTGGAAATTCAGTAAAAGTAATAAACTGAACCACAGTAAAGACTTACGCCAGAGTGAGTGGAGTTCCATCTACCCATTTCCACAGTCCCTCCATTCCATAGTCAGTCAAACCAATCCAAGTGTTATCGTTGATGATTGTAGCGAGAAAGTTCTGTTTAACATGAAAGAAACAACATTTTTTTTAACCAGAATTCCATTTTCTAATTATTTTTATTTCCTTTTGTTTATTTAAATTGTAATAATTTTAACCAAACTAATGTGGAGATCAGGGAAATATTTTACTGCTACTATTCATAACCATCATCATTACCGTTACATTAATTATCATTTCATCAAAGCATTTATTCAATAGATTACACATGTTCTTAGTTAAGATTATTACACCTATCACACAGAGCTTCTGTCTGGTAAAAGGTTAGAAGCGCCAACGGGCGGGGTGAGGCTGAGTGCGTTGGAGGTCGAGACACACACACACACACACACACACACACACACACACACACACACACACACACACACACACACACACACACACAGAGTAGTTAGACTCATGTTTAGGTAAGAGTTCAAATAATAGTTTGCAAAAGCTTGTGACTGCAAAATTGTGTTTGCCTAAGGGACAGTTTGTTCCAAGAGATATGCGAGAGTTAGAAGATTAACAGGAAGCACCTGGCCTCGAGACGGAGAAGATGTCCTTTTAAATGTGTCAAAAGTCGTCAACAGAACATTTGTGGTTTTGAAACTTATGCATGTATTGTATCTGCTTTGACGCATGAGGGGGCGTCATAAATAATACCCATATGTTATAAAAACAACTGCTTGTGTATCATTGGGCGGAGATCGATGCTGTCTGTGTGCAGTGTTCATCTCCCCACGCGTGTGTTCATTAAAATCATTGTTTGACCGACTCTCCTGGACCAATTGTTGTTTCTGCGCTCACCCTCAATATTTGAACTCGTAACACTAACTAATCCTAAACTATCTAATAACTAATCTTTACATTTTTAAAAAAAATTCATTTTAGTTTGTTTTCAAAGTTCAAAAAATATTTCAGTTAGTCCTAATTTTCATTCTCTGTCCATCAATCCATCCATCCATTCTCTTCCTCTTATACTCCTCAGGGTTCCCATGAGCCTTGGGCAATTTAGAATGACTATTAATTAACCTAACTTTTATTCTAGTTTTTATTTAATTTTAGTTATATAAAAAAATCACATTACTTTTAGTTTGTTTAGTTTTAGTTAACCATAACAATAACCCTGGTGCTATACAGAATTGCTCTCCACAGTGAGACTGAATAACAGATGTTTCTGGGTTTTATGTTCAGATATGTTGAATGAATGTTGAAAGGTTAACAGAAACACATAAAATGAATGAATACATTAATTGCAATATACATGCACTATACCTGTTCTTTAGAACTGTCTATCACCACCAGATCTGCTCCTTTGTCTCTACAGTCCCGTCTAGCTTCATCCCAGTTACCAGAGGTTCCAGAGAGGAAATAACAGACATCACTGAACATTTCCCATCCTGTAGGACACGTTTTCTCTGGAAGAAACATCAAGCAAGAGACAATCCAGACCAGCAAATAAGCTGTAATGCTCATCAGATCTCTATTTAATTAACTGGGATCTTTTGCCAGAAAAGACTTTTAATTCCTCTGGACTTCTTTTTCAGCATATTATCATATTCCATTGATTTTGTTCAGTGAGATCAAATTGTCACTGGCTTGACCGCGGCTCACAAATTACACCTTGACTGCTTTGATGCCCTGTTGCCAAAGCCAGCCATCACATCAACTAATGCCAAAGCCAAAATAAATATTTAGATAAATGCTCTAACACTACTGCTGTCATTATATTATCAGAAATGTGTGATTTAGGAAGTTGAAAGAGCGTCATTAAGGAGCATCATTACCCCCCCAAATTTTTGCCATCATCATTCTCCAAAGTGTGATTAAAATCATGGTTATGGATAACCATGGAACAAAAAAGACACACATCAGCGCTGTAACTTATCACCTAAACGTCTGAGTGCCAAGTTATATTTGAAGTATTATGGCATGCCTGTGCGGACTAGGTCAGTTCAGTTTTGGCTGAGGAGTAGTTGCAAGGCGAAAATACTGAAAGACAAATGGAATACAATATACATTTCATAACATAATATAATGGGGAAGTAAAACTGAACATAAGGCACATGGAATGAGAGACTATGTAAATAAAAAAAGAAGTAACTAACACTGAAGCCAGGACTAAAACATACAAACCTGACACAACTAAACAGGGAAACTGGACAGACATGGAGATATGACTATGAGACAGAAAAGATAAAATAAAGATAATATATTAAATAACCAAAGCACATAGACTCAGCTAGAATATAACCTATGAATATGATTACAAAAAGAAGCTACGAACAGAGAAAATACATAACCAGGGAAAATACCAACCTCTAATACTAAAACAAGAGCCACAAAACAGCTCATACAAGGACTCACTCTGGTTAAACAAGCTCTTCAGCCTCTC